GGCCAGGTGTGGTGGCTCCTGTTTGGGATCCCAGTACTTTGGGAGTCTGAGGAGGAAGGACTGCTGTGCACTTTGGCGATGCCACTGCACTCCAGCCTGGGTGTAAAAACACAAATGATGGTATTTTTCCTAAGAGAAAGGAAACTGTCAAACTGACCGCTCTGTCTAAATGGTAAATAGTATATTTTCCTGGGCCTCCAGGTATGGTGAGGGGCACCATATTCTCAGCTACCACATGCAGGAAGCAACTAATGCTCGAGACAGGGGCCGAAGGACGGATGGTGTTTACTAACATGAACTCAAAGCCTGTGACACCTGAATGCTGTTAGAGCAGCTGCTGCAGGTGACTTTTAGAACACCAATCTCACCCAGGACGATCTTGTCTCCTCAAGGGACATAGCAATGTCTAAGGACATCTGTGGTTGTGAGGACTGATGGGTGCTCCTGGCATGGAGCAAGTAGAGGCATGGACACTGCTCAGCACCTGCAGTACCCAGGACAGCCACGCCTTGGAGAACGACCCAGCTCCAATGTCCACAGGGCCCGGGGCAGAGACCTGCTTTAGAGCAAGTAGCCTCAAGAACACACCCATGCAATCAACTGCTTTGATGAAAATTAATAGGCTGTCTGGGTGCAGTAGCTCATGCCTGTAATCCTACCACTCTGGGAGACTGAAATGGGCAGATTGCTCGAGCTCAGGAGTCAGAGATCAGCCTGAGCAAGAGTGAGACTCCCTCTAAAAATAGCTGGGTGCTGTGGTGGGCACCTGTAGACTCAGCTACTTGGGAGGCTGAGACAAGAGGATCACTTGAGCCCAGGAGTTTGAGGTTGCTGTGAGCTATGACACCATGGCACTCTACTGAGGGCAACATAGTGAGACTCTGCCTCAAAAAAAAAGAAGAGAAGAGAAGAAATTAACAGGCCAAAGGGGCATGAAACCACCCACTTGGAGAAGCACCTGAATCAGAGATTTGGCCAAGTGGAGTGCACTCTGCTCTCACTCACTCAGCCAGAGTCACCGTAATAACCGAACCCAGGCAAAACAGCCTGCTGTGGGTGCTCTGTGATACCACCTGCACCACCCAGTCTGCATATACGGATGAGTACTGGGTGCCGCTGTGCTCTGGGCCCTTCCCCTGGGACCCGCTGCACCCATTGCTGCCCTCTGGTGGCTCACCCAAACAGAGCAGGACTTTCGAGGGGGCACAGATGAGGAAACTGAGGCTGGGGAATGAGCTGGGCCCTGCAGCAAATCCAAGGCTCCTGGGAGAACCAAGAAGCCCTTAGTGTCTCCCGTCAGACTCTGAGAGCATTACCTGGCCCTTTGCCTGAGGCCTCCAGCTTTCGAAGCTTAGAGATCTCGTCCTCGGTGATGATGGTCATGTCCCTCCAGAAGTCAGCATTCTTGCCCTGCTCCAGCTCCATGTACACCTTGGGGTAGAGGGCAGGGGGTAGGGGAGGTGAGGATAGGTGCAAGCCCTGGGCTTGGAGTTCAGCAGGCTGTGGGGCTGGCAGTACCTGGATGTCCTCCAGCAGGTCCTCCATGTCAGCTACAGTGAGCCCATTGAGAAAGGTGTAGGGCTCATGCATCTCTACAGCCAGGTCGTCATCCTCAGCACTAATGTACTTGGCCAACAGGTCAATGGGCTTAGCTCGCCCGTCCCGGATGCGGATCTTGGAGCTGTGTGGAGCAGGAAGCAGCAGTGTCAGAGCTAGAGTATACCCTGACCACTGAAGAAAGATGGCAGAGGCTTGCCCTGGTCCAACCCAAAGGAACCCCTTGACTAGGGGCTCGAGCTGAGAGGAGCCTCTGATGTCATCAAGTGTGAGATCTTTGCTGGCCCCAGTGCAGTTGGCTGGCAACACAGCACATTGGGGGTCAGGACCAGGCTTAGGATGCACGCACATGCCAGACTCAGGGTCAGGTACCCGCTGTGTGGCCCTGGCCCAACCAGGATGCCACTAGGATGGAGGAGAGAACTGCCCTTATTAGCTGAGAGTGTAAGAGACTGCTATGGTTAGTGCTAGCATGGAAGGCAATTCCTTCTCAGCATGTGGCCGTCATGCCCAGCCGCACAGGATGACAGAAAGGACACAGAAGCATCACAGACTAGGATGGTGCTGCAATTAAGGAGTAAACAAAGTTCATGAGTGCCTACGAACAGAGCTGGCAATGAAAAGGAGGTCAGTGAGGGCATCCTTGAGGAGGTGCTAAGGGTAAGGAAGCTGTTAGGTCCAGGCAGAATGACAGCAAAGACCTTGGGTGAGTGTGAGCTTGCTGTGGTGGGCCCAGGAGGCTAGTGGGGGCCCTGCATACCGCAGCTTGGCCTGCTGGAGGTGGAAGTTGTCCTCTTGCTCTTCCCAAGTCTTGAAGTGCTCTGCTTCCTTCTCGCGCTGTAATAGCTCCAGCTCCTGCTCCCGCATGGCCTTCTCCCGCTCCCGCTCTAGCCGAAGCTGCTTCACCTGGGGGTGCACAAGGAGACTGAAGGTAGGGCAAGGTTGCTGTGCAGATACATAATAGGGCCCCCACTGCCCATGGGTCTGCTAGGGTTGGGATGGGGACTCAGACCTTGGACCAGGAGCATATGTCCTGGGCACAAGATTGGTCTACAGACACCTAAGACCCTGGAATAGGATATGTCTTCTGTCTGCTGGAGACTCAGTAGCTTAGAGCTGCTGGGGCTGTTTCAGTCACTCTGAAGAGCCTAGCATCTAAGAGTAAAGCCCACAGGACCACAGAGCCAAGAGGTAAAGGAAAACATCTTGGAGAGATTGAGCCCCAGGATCTAGCTATGCCTGAAGCCTACATTCCTGGACTTCCCATGTAAGCCAACTAAGTCTTCCTGGCTTAAGCCAGAGTGAAACAGCCTCTGGGCACTTAAGAAAGGAGGCCTCTTGTGCGGTGCCTGTGGCTCTGTGAGTAGGGCGCTGGCACCATATACCAAGGGTGACAGGTTCAAACCCAGCCCTGGCCAAACTGCAACAACAAAAAAAATAG